GAATAAAAGTTACAAGTAAGAGTTCGTGAACCATTTTATCCGAGATGAATTATTATCGTTTGCAACATGCGACATTAAATTAGAAAATTTGTTGCCAGTTGCTAAACAAACAATTTTCACTGCGTACAATATCATTGAAATCGCTAAATTGAAGTCTTCTTGCTTTTTTAGATTTCGATAGAATAATGTAATCTATCGTCAGAATCAACGCTCGACTCTAAATTACTTTCATATTGATCAAAAACAAATTCATCGTCGCTACTATCTTCAAACAACTCGCTTTCTATTATAACTTCTAACGAGGTACTTTTTTGATTTATTCAATCAGAGAAACATCGTTAGAACATGCAATTAAATAGAATTTATTAACAATATTTTTATCTCCCGTTCTACCGTACGGTGGGCCAAAAATCACTTCCTACTAAAATAAACCCGTAATTTTTTTATTATATATATTCTCTTAATTTGCGAACGTAATTGACGGTCAACATTTAAAAGAAATAATTTAAAAAAAAAATCACGAACTTAAATTCAATTTAAAATTGATCAAATTAGTTTCTTCTTATATTTCGATGTTTTTATTATCCTCTATGTCATTAAGTACCTGGGAGAAGTACTTGAAGTGCAAGGGGTTAAGAGATCCACGAATCTACTTCCCAGAGGAATCAGAGATTTCCTCCAAGTCGCAGAGATAATCAAAAATTCACGAAAAGTCGAGATACTGTTTCACCATTTCCATCCGCTTTTTCATTCATATTTTCCCCCTCGTCACCTGCGTGTTCGTCACTTGAAACCGAGCCGATCACCACCTCCGTGAGACGAGAGAACGAGCAGACGATAATCGGCCGACGAATCGTTCGCAGGACTTGTCGTACAAGGATAAGCACTGGCACGAGGCGTGCTTCCTCTGCAACAGGTGCAGAGTGTCCTTGGTGGACAAGCAGTTCGGTAGCAAGGTGGACAAGATCTACTGCGGCAACTGCTACGACGCCCAGTTCGCCAGCCGTTGCGATGGATGCGGCGAGATCTTCCGTGCTGGTACGTAACCCGAAACCAAATTCTCTTCTCGCAATTGCAAAAATAGCCTGAACGCGAATAGTTTTTACGCGTGTTCCGTCGAGTGTCCAAGTATATTCGGAGTACGCTCCGAAACGATAGAAACACGATATCGCCGCGCTTCTCTCTCCCGAAATAATTCATTCATTCATCGCCGTCGTCACCACGGCACGAGACAGAGATCCGGTCTGGACGATCGATCGAACCACCTGTTTTTCGATCAACGACGAGAAAAACCCCCGATGAGAAAATGAATCACGACCCCGAGTGTGACACACACATGCACATAGAGATTATAGACGTCGGATTCGGCGTTTCTTATTAAGGCAACCGAGTCAAGGCTCGGCCCAATTATCGCGAGCCTTTTCGAAAGGAAAGGAAAGACTCCGACTCTTTTACGTCCTCTAATTCCATCGAGCGCATGTCGTTCGATGTATAGAGAATACTTGGAAAATTATTCCTTCGCGGACCGACACTTACAACATTCGTTTAGCCGGTGTCTAAACGAGTCTGACAAATACACTCGATTGTTATTAATATAAAAAATACGCGTAAAGAAACTATAACTTAAAGAAGAAAATACAAATACTCCGTCTCGAACGTGTTAAAGCGGAGATCGAATCGGTATTACAAATACTAGTAAAATATTTTTAGGTAATTATTCTACCATCGCAATGGAAGCTAAATGCTTGGACTATACCGGTCATTAAAGCGATGTTACACCGGTATAATTGTATTTCAATGAATATTATAGAATAAAGAGATACAAATTAGATAAAATCATGTTTCGATGAAATCGAAATCGGACTTGCGTAATTAATTACGCGCGTGAACAAATTGCATGTTGCAGACTGAAAAAGTTTAAACTGAATTATCGGCTAGATTTATTAATGCCATGAGAAATAGACGAAAGATGCTTTCTGATAATGACATTTTTTTTTTTTTTTTTAACAGAATTATTTTTTGATTTACATTATAATTTAATATCGAGTTCAGAAGTGAAAATGCTCGACGTTACTTATGTGCAAATGTTACTTATTCAACATGTGGAAGCACATTACAAAAAGCAATGTACAAATGTATATATGACATAAAGTGGGTGTTGTTTTCCTCAAATATTCTTTCTTCACTCGTTCCCACACATAAAAACGGAATATGTCCAATATCACTTCCTTGTTATAAATTTCAGTATTTATGAAGTAGCGATTGGAAGTGTTTAAAAATACCGATGAAAAAACATGTTACATCATTACTAACTCGGTAAAATATCGAGACCTCAAAAATCGATCTCTGTTTCGAACACAAACAAACCGAAGACAAACCTCTTGATTCGTGTTTTTAGATCGAAGGAACGCTTTTGTCTGAACGACGATCACCGCGCGGTTTCTTTCGCAGGCCTAGAGTCGAACAAGTCGAATGAGATAGGGAAGTGGGTCGGGAAAAAAAGGTTGGCAATTACTCGGCGCGACCATTTTCCGACGACTTGTCGCGTTGTCGCCTTCTGGCAACCTTCGTGGCGACTGCAACGATCGCAGACTGCGTGGTAGAGTGCACGGCGACCTATATACCGCGTGATTCACGCGCGGCTTCGCGACCATGCTCCAGACTCCAGGCCACGTACAGAAGTAATTGGCTCGTTAACGAGCCACGTTGATTCTCCGAGAGAGAACTTTGGACCTCGGAAGAGCCTCCACGATCAAAGACGCCTCGGCGACCTTTCTCTCTTTCGGGAGAATGTACGCTCTTTGCTCTCGAGGGCAGCCACTTCCGCCGATACCGAGATTACCGATCGGTAATTCGGTCAAGTACGCAGCAAGATAAACGTCCCAATGGATCCGTGGACACTCGACGAACTTCGAGGGACGGTTGATCGTCGAAGGAGAGAGAGCACAGGAGCTTAGGATCGATTTCACGAACGAGGTTCGTGCCTCTGATGGGTCTGGTTTCGACTTACGTGACGCGCGTGGGAGTCCCGTTGAGTCTTGAAAGAGGCATAGCAGATAGCTATGCGAGATCGGTGAGGAATCGTTTGTGAAAATGACTCGGTACCAGGTACGTGTCCGTATACGGATCGATCTTTCGAAGGATATCAAATCGCGAGATCTACTTTGTGAGAAGAAAAGGAAAGAAAGGAAAGGAAAGAAATAGATTTCTTTTTTAAATCGAGACTCTGACGCAAAGATGACCGCTGTTTGTTCAACCATTAGAAACAGACTTGGAAGATTGCAGAACAGAAGAATCAATAACTTAATCGAACGAGCACGACTTAACAGAAGGTTAACAATCGCGACGATCGCCGAACGCGAATTGAGCGCTGAGTTCAGTGAAACTGTACGACGTCACTTATCAAGGAACGTGTTAACTCGACGCAATTTCCTTCGATGAATCACGAGCGATTAGTTTGTCAGGCAAAGTAATTCGTCATTCGTTGGTTCGACTTTTGCGTTGCGGGAACAATAATCCGTCGTGGCCGTGAAAAGGAGGATTTTAAGAGGCTTCGTGCCACTAATTACCCACGTGCTAATCACCACGGTACTCGGACGTAATCGTCTAAAGAAAATTATTCTCCAATAATGTCTCTCGTGGAAATATCCTTCACCTTTGTGTGGATGTCGCGAATAAGATGTAAAACCTACGGATTATCGCAGCCAAAACGATCGACGTTCTATCTATATACATATACGTCACATATATATTTGACTTTGGTTGGTTGACAAAAGTACTGATAGAAATAAACGAATGAAAATATCTGTCATAACACTAGAAAAATCGTATCGAAATATATTCTGCATATGAGCAGCTACAATTTAAATGATTATAAAAAAAAAAATAACAAATAGATTCGTGGTTTTACCACGCCAGGCCACGGTTTCGTGTAAAATTTGCATTTCGACGAAGCTCATGAGCGTCACAGGCACGAGTATTAAGAGGTTGAATCTATTCTCATTCGATCGATTAATACGTAGATAAGCTCGCTTCTGAATCTGCGGCGATGTGTACGATACATGTATAGACGTTGGATGTCTGACTCGAGGAAAATGGTTTCTCGAAAAAGGACGAGAACGAGAAAGCGACGGCAGTTCGACGAACGAGACCGGGCCTGGGCGGCAGCGAACGCGCCGCGTAAATATATAAATATTCGCGGATGCGTTCCAGGATGGCGGAGAGAGTGGGTCTGGTGGAGCGGAAAGGCAAACTTATCAGCGGAGTAAAAGACACGTTGCGCGTGCTCGCGGTGTGCACGGTGAATCCAACGAGCGGGCTCGCTCCGGTTGCTTCAGTGGCTCGCAAGACTCCGTACGAGCCAATCGTACGGGCCGATCGGTCACCGATTTCACCTTCTCGGCATCTGCTCTCTCGCGCTCGAGACTTTGCGCTCGAGTTCACGTTCGAATACAGCGTTTTCGCGCGTCAGCCGTGTGATCAGCCTATTTCTCGATTCTCTCCCTCTAGGTTTGGTCCTGGCTTTTCTCACTTCTCGATCGCGGTTCCTTTCTTTCGCAAAAATAAGACCAAAGTATTGACGCAAACACGCATCTTGTACTTTGTTCTTCTCCTGCTTTGTAAACAAGTCTGACGACGGATCTCTGATCTCTCGGATTTTACTCCAAACGAGACACCGGTGTAAAAATACGCGTCACTCTTGGAGACTTTTGCTTGGAGTTTTCTCAGTAGCAGAAACGATGATTCTTTCGAGACGTGCCCCATCTCTGACAGTTTTACAATTCTTTTAGTGAGACCTACTTTATTGCTCTGTGATCGAGAGTGAGAAATCAAAGGAGTCGGTATACATATGTTTCACATATATATATATATACATCGCGGTACCGAAATTTCAGTGAACGTTCTACCGTCTTAGAAGAAGTTAAAAGACTCGTGAGAAGGAAAAGAAAAGAAAAATGGCCGCAGACACGTTGAGCGAACGGCTGTCCAGCAAGCTACACCTGCAAACGAAGAAAGTCGGCGAGGACAGGATAAGAAGGGCGAAAGAAAAGGACGAAGACATCGCGATATTCAGCATGTTCCCGATGGAGGGTGATCCCAAGTTCAGGTGCTGCCTCGGCAAAGACTGTCTCCTGGGTGACCCGAAAAAAGCAGATCCAGGTGACGCGAGAAACGTTCATCAAGTTTCCCCGATCGTGTTCTTTCGTTCATTCGGATCCTCGCGCGACAAATGGAGAGACAAAATAATAAGTATCGTGTCCGACATTCTCCGGATCGATCCTCGAGGATGTTACGAAACCAACCGACGGACGCGGGGGCGACAGATAAGGTCCCGTTTCTCTAAAGTTTTCCTATGGTCGACGCCGACGCCTTAACTGGCTCGCTATAAATCGGCCGATCGGGCGAATCGTATCGTAGAGAAAGGGAAACGAAAAAAAAGAGAAATAGTCTCGGACGAAAAGAGGGAATTCGAGGGGGGGCCCACGACCTTAGGTGGAAACACGAGAGAGCACAGCCATGGATCTCGATTGTCCATGGCTGTGTGCTAGCGAGTCACGTTAATTATCATTCTGATTCAGCGACACGATTCCTAATAAGTAGATCGCCGATTGTTTATATACAAAATATGTTCAAAGATATTTATCGTGATACATAAATATTTAGATGATGGTTAGATTTCATTTTTCTAATTATTCAACAACACGATTCCTAATAAGTAGAATTGTTTATATATTTTGTTTATATATTAAAATCTATAAAACGCGTGTAAAGATATACAAAATATGTTCAAAGTACAAAGATATTTATCGTGATAATTAGATTTCATTTTTCTAGTTATTTAACAACACGATTCCTAATAAGTAGAATTGTTTATATATTTTGTTTATATATTAAAATCTATAAAACGCGTGTAAAGATATACAAAATATGTTCAAAGTACAAAGATATTTATCGTGATGATTAGATTTCATTTTTCTAGTTATTCAACAACACGATTCCTAATGAGTAGAATTGTTTATATATTTTGTTTATATATTTTGTTTATATATTAAGATCTATAAAACGCGTGTGCGATATTTATCGTGATATATATAAACTTAAGTGACGATTAGCTTTCGTTTCTCTATTCGTTATATTCACTTTTAAAGCACGAAATTCTGCTTTCTTTTTCACAACGTAGTTCTTCTTTTCCAAAGTTCTGTTTTTTTCAATTGCACACTCTTAAAACTTCGCGGATTCGTTACGTTTACGAAGATATAAAATTCTGTGGTAAATAATGGTCAGAAGCAGGATTCTCGAGGTTCCTCGACTCGAGATTGGTCCAGAACGCTCGACGAAACATCGAGTCATCCATCGAGATCGAATGGAATGGCGAGGAACGTGCTCGCGGGGACTGCCGCGTCGTGTTTAGAGAAGAGATAATCATCCAGCGAGGCGGCGAGAAGAAAACCAAACAGACGGGTTCCTATGTTAATCATACGTTCAAGCTTTATGATTAATGGTTGTAAACGGTGATCGATTGCGTCGCGGAATTAATCAAGCGTCCCGATAGTTCCGGCTACGATCGCCACACGTGCCATTTGATATTTACACACTTGGTTCGGGACTTGTTGGAAAATTTATTTTCCACTTCAGTTGCCCTGCTTCGTTTCCCACTTCGTTCTGAACTTCTCGCGCAGAAGATGATATGGATATATTTCGTCTGTTTGCGGATAATTCGCAATGCAAATTCGTCTAATGAAACCGGGCGTCGTCGCAATAATAATAAAACGACATAATGCATGCGGCAATATTTGTCGTTGGCCGATTACGAAACAAGAATTGCCAAGAATCCACCGCGGTGCGATCAAACAATGATGTCACCCGCTGTTTATTCGAGTGCTCGCGTATACTGGCCAAAAATGACCGCGAAACGCCACTTCTCGTCGATTACGTTTCTCGTAGATCTACGTGATCTAACAGTGCGTAAAAGTGGAAACAAGAAATCCGTCGAGAAAAATCCACCCGCGATCGATAGGTCCGAGATGAAATGAAATGATTGATCGTGACCGATCGAAAAATCGGATGCAGTCGGATAAGAAGTCCTATTAATAAGAGTGATGTAATTCGTTGCTATGAGCTGTTTGTTCTCTCAGTTGGATGCACCGATATCTATCGTGGTAAATTGTCTTCTTATCGCGGCACAATCTATCGTTATCGAACGAGTTCAGCGTCTCTGGTCTCGACACCGCAGAGAGAAGAACGATCTCGAGTTTGCTGGCGGGAAAGGAAAAACAAACGCGGCGAAGAAAATTGATCGTCCAAAACTCGTACGACACGACGAAGAGCAAACTTTTATGTAACGTTCGAAAAGAGCAACGTTGTGCAACGGCGAACGATTTAAAAACGTGCCGGATGCGGCCACCCTGTTCTATATTTCCCTGTTGCACAATAACTAACAACGTCTTAGGAGGGAACGCGTGTTTCGAGTTTTACGTGTTTTCATCTCGAGTCGAATTCCCGGTGGCTGTTAAGACACCGAGTTTAGGACTCGCGCGCGAGGAAAGTCAAGAGACCCGATATGTTCTCTCTTCTCGCTGGTGAATTTATATTTAGAGTTGACGTGGCCAAGGATCGTGGCTTTCGACGGACTATCCGAGACCTCGTGAGACTCGGAACGATCCCCGATCTCGAGAATGTTGTCATCTCTGCAGTTACCGAATTGACGCCCGTTTCCAGAAATATATTCTCCGACACGCCCGACGTATTGTTGCCTCGGATGAAAAATCGCGATTTGATGGTGAATTGAACGTTGCAGAACAAGAGATTGAATCTTGAGATCGTTATGACCCCCCGGGACGATATGTTCTGATAAATCGGATCGGTCGCGCAATTTCGATCAGGCCGATATGGAACGCACGCACGGTGGTAAGCCAAAGTGAGCCAAAGCAACGCGTATAACGCGATATTACCACGTCGATGGCCTTGGACCATCAGACTTTATACATATACGGAGGTATTGCTCGGACGCAAGTGACGTCACACACCTTCTGGTTCACGGTGGACCAACGGAGAAACAGCTCGCGGAAAGTACTCACAAGTTACCTTTTTTTTTTTTTTTTTTTTTTCGAAGACCACTGGAATCTAGACTATATATACGAAGGCAAACATAATATCGGCCAAAAAATATATACATGTCACACGCGTTTCTTGCACGACTCGTAATTAGG